ACATCAATTGAGTGATGGATTTTGCTTTGTTTTGTTTTGTTTGTTGCTTCTATTTTTTGCTTCAATTTCGTTTGTTTTCGTTGAAAATGAATTCAAGTCAAATCAAATCAAATCATACTGACAACGAGAACAAAATCCGCATAAAAACCCCTGTTTTGATTTCATTTTTTGTTGTTTTTGTTTGATTTTTGAAATTAATAACATGCCTTGGAGGCTAAGCATGATTTCTTGATTTCTTTTTTGATTTTTTTGATTGATGTAAATAATGATTACATTTAATTGATTGATGGATTGAATATGAAATGTTGGAAAAAAACAAAAACAATGTCGAAAATTGAATGTATTGATCCAGCCAAAGATTCGTTTTCGGAGAATGACAGTTATTTTTAGATATTTCCCGAATATTTGCGGGTATCACACATGTACGAAATCACAAAAAACCAAAAGATTCATTCAACCTTATCGTTGTTGTTGTTGTTGTTCAAATTGAATTTTTTTTTGTCTGCAATTTTCATTTCGCTTTTTTTGTTGTTGTTGTTGTTGATTATTTTCAATCAAATGAATGATTATTGATCTTTCTGTGTTCGATATATATTTGCCAATTGATTATTTTCGATAAAATCGATTGTTTTTGTTGTTCAAATTTCACACCACCACCGTTATTTTGAAAATTTTTGAAACGAGGAACTTTATTGAACTGAACTGAACTGATGACAAAATAGATTTTCTATTTTTAGGAATTCTCTGATCGTTGTTATCTTTGTTATCCAACCTGGTGTGTTATGATGATGATGATAATGATGGAAGAAAGTGGAATATTTTGATGGTAGAAAAATTTCACTCGAAAATTCGAACATCTGGGCCCAAAAAATTCGAATTCGAACTTTTTTTTACAGAAAGCAACTTTTTCAACAGTCACTGTTTTGTTTGGATCGAAATAGACGGAACAAAATTGAGCCATCCGCCAAGTTCGATGTTTTGGATGCTTTGTGGTGCTATACACGCGGACATTCAAATTTTGTTTTCATTTTTTCAGACAAAATTGCGAGTGCCAAAGTTTATTGTCAGTTTCAATTAAGCATCAGATTTTTCTTGTTGTTGTTGTCATCTACGATTATCATCAAGTATGATGATCATGACTTGATGATGTCTTGATTTGGACAATTTTCATCTAAAAGAAAGCTGGCCAACAATTTCTCCTGATAATGGAAGATTATCACCACCATTATAACCACCACCTGTTGATCAGTATGTGTTTGTTTGACCCATAAACAAACAAATGTTATTTTTTTTCCTGATTTGTTTTTTGAGACCCGAAAATAAAAATTTTCTGGCTTTGAAATCGAATCAATTTTTTTCGGTTATTTTCAAACAGGTGAACAAGAAAAAAAAACGTCAAATTCTCTGTCTTCATGTTGAAACTGATGGCATTTTTTTCGAGTTTACATAATGTTTCTGTCAATCTTTTGTTTTGTTTTGTGAAAAACGAAAGAAAAAATGTATCCAAACGATTTGTTACAAAATCATCATCATCATTCGAACGAAAAAAACACCTGAATGTTCGAAAGTTTTATGCGCATGCGTTCATCGAACAACGATTAATCCCCATCGAACCATTTGGAAGATTATTTTGGAATTTTGTTTGCCTGTCAAAAAAATCTTATTAAATAATGAAAAAAATGTGACATGTGATGATGATAATAATTGTTGATGGTGATGTGATTTCGTCAATCTCTCTGTGTTTCTGTGTTTGTATGATGTGTGTGTGTGTTTTTCAATTTAAATTTAGATTTTTTTTTCTCTATTTTTCAATTGTCATGTGAAAAATCCTTTATGTTCATTTGAAAGAATGATTGCCGTAATAATTTTTTCGTATAATCATCATTATCATCATCGTTATTATGGTTTAAATGAACGAGGTGTGTGGTGCACATTTTTTTACACATGATTACCATTACGATGATGGTGATGAACATGAAAAAAAGATCAAATTTTACTAGATTAATCCACATTAAATCATCATCAGATGTTTTTTGCTTTCAAATCAAAAAGAGCAGATGTTTTTTTTCAGCAGAAAAGAAACATTTATTTTTTGATTCTTTTTGTTGCTTTTACTGAATTTACAAATTGTCCAGTGTTTACCTTGTTTGTGTTTGATTATAATTCGATTTGAATCCAAAAACTGATTAAATGATTGATTGATTGATTAAAAGTCAGGGTCATTTGGGTTTGGTTTGGTCGATCGATCGATCGATATTGATCGCAATATTCCCTTTCCTTTTCATTTTGTTCAAATGGCTACTTTTTTTCTGGATATGATTAATGAAAGTTTTTGTTCAACATTTGTTTTTTACACATGTCTTATCGCACAACTTTCAAGCAAAATCAAATCAATTGATCAATAAAGTTTTGCCCTTGCAATTTTTTTTTCTTCTCAATGGTCATTTTTGCACAAAATTATCATAAAATGCATAAAAATGAATCAGAAGAAGAAGAAAAATATCTTTATTTATTTGTTTGGCTCACGAAACAAAACATTTAGATGGACACGGATGATGACATTGGACTGCCACAATTCTTTTTTGCTTTTGCTTTTCGCTTTTTTCGAATTCAATCTGGACAACAAGCAAGCAAGCAAATCTCATTTTTTTCGTTCTCACAATTGATTTCGTGCATACACGTTGCATTCTGATCAAAAAGAGAAAAAAGAGTATAAAGTAACAAAAAAAACCAATTCAATTCAAAAAATATCAGGCAAATTGGATCAAACAAACAAACAAAAATTCATGAATGAAGAATGGATTGACATTTCAATTCATTTGTTTTCAAGGAAAATGCCAAAATGAAAATCTTGTTAGCCAAATGACCATTGTATGTATCGGTCGCCATTGACCAAAAACATCATTTCATTGCAAAGGGATTCCAACTACCGGCATATGTGAATTTGAATAGGCAAATGTTATTACAAAGTTTTGCTTTTGTTTTCGGTCAAGGAAAAACAAAACAATGAACAATTAAAACAAAGTTGGCGGAAATAAAGTTTTTGTTTGGATGAAATGAAAGTTTTTTTGGGAAGAAAACATATGCTTTTTATTGCCATTTTGGCTATTTCGATCCTAGATAGATTTTTTTCTATACAAAATAGTTTTGGTGATGGTGCACGATGATAAGTCAATTTTGATAAAGTTTCAAAAACACAGAAAAAAATCAGAAAAATCTTTAATTTTTGAATGGATTTTGTTTGTTTGAAATTTAAAAGAAAATGAAAATGGAATGAAAAAATGGAATATTGAACTTGAAAATTTTTCCATTAAAAAAAAATTTTTACACTTGATAGTGATGGCCATTGATGATGATGATAATGATCTTTTGTTATTTTCAAATTGTTTGGCCTATAGTCATAGTCATAGTCAGGTTAGGTTAGGTTGATGACTATGACTATGCCTATGATTCATAGTTGAGTGAGGTTAGGTTGATGACTATGCCTATGACTGTGATTCATAGTTGAGTGAGGTTAGGTTGATCAATATGACCTAAATTTTAATTTCTATTATTAATTCCACATAATATCCATTTTTTTATTGGCGATGTTTATTAAATTACATCAATGATGATGATGATGATAATCTAATAGCTAAGGGTAATTAGACAAAGAGAAAGCCAGAGAGCCGGAGAAACTCCAGTAGAAAAAAAACCAGTTATATAATAACATTCATTCCAAATACAGCAAGCAAAACTTGTCCAACTTGTTTATTATTGTTGTGTGTGTGTTTTTCCAAACGATAAAAAAAGACAAAATTTTCAATTTATCGATAGATTTATAATTCTCTCTCTCTCTCTCTCTCTCTCTCTATGAAAAGTTTTAATTAGATTTTTTCCAATTCATAAAAATCATGACAAATGATAATAATAATAATAATATTTGGAGCATTTTTGATCTTCCTTTCATTTCATTCATCCAACCACTTACCTGGTCTGCCAGGTGGCCTAGTTTTTTTCTGATTGTCGCATTCATTCATGGTGATGAATAAATATTGCCCGCAGGGTTCTTTCAGTTCTTTTAGGTTTCTTTTTGGTTTTCGATCTATTCAAAATTGCCGGGCAACAAAAATTTGTTCAAAATTGAGCAAGTGGAATTTTCTTCCACGCATTATACTGAGAGAGAGGAAGATAAATGTCACAAATTTGTTTCACACAGGGTACCATTCTCCACCGACAGCTAAGTAGGAAATGAATGAAAAAACATTGGATAATTATGATTCAGGCTTGAACTGAATTTTGATTCAGATTTTTGAACAAAAATTCAAAAATCTCTGCCCCCAAACCTACTTAATAAGATGATTTATCTGCTTTAATTACATATTATTGAAGTGGGATGCCATTTAAAATTTACTTCTGTTATTATCAAATAATAGCAACGTTGGTGGCAATGGTGGTGATAATTATCATGGCCATCATCATCAGGGGTTTTATTCCTGGCTGTGGCTGGAATTTCAATTTGATTCGATTTGAAAAAATGTTGATTTATTGATGGCACGATTTTTTTTTCGTTGATTTTCGTTGATTTTTCATTGATTTTCATTGATTTTCATTGATTTTCGTGGATTCTGGCAAATTTAATTTTCGCTTTGATTAATATCTTCTTCATCGATGATGATGATTTTCCACTTTTTTTTATCCACCGAATTAATTATCATTTGAATCTTTTGCTCAATTCAAAATTGACAATTGAAAATGATTTTTCTTCTTCTTCTGGATTTTTCAACACCATCGCATCACGATAATTCGAATCATTTAAAAGATGTGATTGTCAATTCGTGACTAGATCATCATCACTGGCTTAATCTTTCACAATAAGTTTAGCGTAGTTCTTCTTGTTTTTCTTGATGATTAATTGTATCAAATATGTTTGATTCTTGATCGATAAATCAAATCGATAAATATGATGACCTAGTTAAAATTATTAATAATATTTTTTTCTTTCGTTTTTCACAAAATAGCTACAGTAGCAAAACGACGTAAATGTACACCATATGAATTTGAATGTATCCAAGATTCTCAATGTATCGATTTATCATTGGTCGGAAATGGTATTGCTGATTGTAATGATCGTTCGGATGAATGTTCAGATCCTTCAAGGGAATTTCGTTGTCGTTGTGGTCGACCAGTTTGTATTGATCGTCAACATTATATGGATGGACAAATTAATTGTGAAGATGGTTCGGATGAAGGTCTTACGGTTACTATTTGTCAAAGTTTTATACAAAATGAACTTTTACCTAATAATAATAATAACGGTAAGTTTTGCTTTTCACCCTATTCAATAACTCTGTGTTTACAGAAAATCTCTACATCTTTTTTCCCCTTTTAACAAAAACCCGAATGGATTTATGTGAGCAAGTGTGAGAGAGAGCCTCGTGACTATTTAATAATCTTTTTTTTTATAACAAAAAAAAACTGAATGATAATTTACTAATTACAAAACAGACAGACACACTGAAAACATGGTTATTTTTTTTACTAATTTTATAATTGATTATCAACCAAAAATACAACTACAAAATTAATTGATTGAGGTCATTGGGATTTGACCAATTTTTTCTTTTGGATAACTTAACCCTGATTTTTTTCAAAAACAAAAAACTAATTTTATCGAAAATTTTCGTCGAAACGTTTCATCGACAACCAACCAACCAACTAACCATGGCTTAATTTTATTCTAATTGCGTGTGTCTATGTGGGGGGGGAATTACTAACCAATAAAAATCTATAATCGAAACTAACCCTCAATCAATCTAATCCGATGACTCCTGTATATATTGCCTGAATGATCATTTATGAAAATGAAAAAAAAATATGATAACATGGTAACTGATTCAATCTTTTTATCGTTGATTTCTCCAAAAAAAAAAACGAAAAAAATATAGGAATATTAACCCGTCAAATGCTTCCATTCGAGCACCATGAAAGGCCATCATCCAATAATAATGATCCAAATATTGATGGCGATGATAATCAAACAACAACAACAACCATAAATGAAAATAGATATACAGCTGATGCTGATTCGGATGATATTGTTGATGATTTGGATGATCCAATTCTTTTGATACCAGAAAATTTACAAGAAATATTTTCCGGTCATTTTTTTGATTCAATTTCAACATCACCATTTGTTGAATTGGAAACAACAATAAATTCTACTGATGCTGAAGCTGATGACGATGATAATATTGTTACCACAATCAACAACAATGGTGGTAAAGATAAAAATCAATTTCTATCACCATCACCATCGATATCGATCGATAATCAGCTCAATTCAACAACAACAACAACCATGATTGAATCATCAATGAAATCTTTACCATCAACGACGACAACAAGTCAAGAAATAGTCGAATTGACTGGGACATTTTTACCATATGAATTGTTAACAGCACCATCAAAATATCCATATTATCGTCATTATCAACGATCATCATCGATAATTCAATTGGAAAATTTAAATGACAAAAATTCAATTGTTGAAATAACTGGAACATTTATACCGGCAACAACAACTCAAACTCAAACTCAAACACAATCGATATCGTTCGATAGTGAAACTGAATATCGTCCATCACCACCGATAACAACACAATCGATAACAAAACAATCATCCATGGTTGCCGAACAACCTATTTTTATCGATAATAATCATACCAAGGTGGTAGAAATAGTGGAAATGAAACAACAAAAAATTAAACAAGCAACAAATCAAACATTTTTAATCGGTAATCGTCGTTTGATTTTATTGACGGGTATTTTTATCGATACCGATGATAATAATGATGCGGGTACAGCATTCATAGTGGCGTGTTCACAAAATCGATTACATCAATCAATCAAATCATCCGACACTGATGATGATGGTAGAATCTGTGATAATAATGTTCCGATAAAAATATGGAAAGAACCACGACAACGACAATCATCATCGACATCGACAACATTATCGGTAAATTTAGCCACGGGTGGAAAATCATTGATTGTTGTGCCGATGTTTACCACAAATGGCCATAATAATCATCATCATCAGTCGGATGACAATATTAAAATGATTCATGCTGAAATTGAATTGAATTTTAATGATGGTCATCATCGTCAAGGTAGTAATAGCCGTCGACAAATTTTATCCGGTTTAGGCTGGAAAAATGTATCGAAAATTCAGGTCAACACTGATCGAAAATATATTCCATTTATGGTGAAGGATTTACAGCTTGGATCATCAGTTGTTGATGTACGATTTGATTGGCGAAAACAATTGTCCAATGTACAGATTATCGATATAAATGATGATATCGATCATCATAATCATCAGCATTCGTCGTTTGTATTACCATCATCGTCGTCATTATCATCATCAACGACATCCAGCATCGATGTACCACAGTTGATGTCATCAAAAATTCCCGTATCGATTAAATCAACAAAATCGATTGGACGACGACGAATGAAAACAACAACTGTTGGACGTTTTCATCAACAAGATGAAGAGAATAAATCACGTTTGGATAGTTATTTTCCTGATGGTAATATACCACATTATGATCCAACTTTATTTGTACGGCAACCATCACCATCACCAACGCCATCGATTTCGATGATGAATCAAATTCGTTCGACAAGTACGATATTTGGTTTTATTGATTTTACCACCATTGTTAATGGAACAATGTTGATTTTTACACCAAAAATCAAAACCGAATCGCTACCTGATCATCGACAAACAACGACTATGATTAAACCGACAAAAGTTGCTCATCTTAATCCGGTGTCAACAACTATTTCGACACTGTTGGGTAAATCTATTCCAACATATAACGATAAAAATGATTTATCATCGCAACAACAATCAATAACGATAATTCCGGATAAACCGGGTAAATATAATGAATATTTAGTTACAAACAATGATAATGATGGTTTAACCATTACAAATGGATTTATATTGCCAAGTTTTTCATCTTCGAAATCATCAACAGCTAGTCATTCAACAAAACCATCAAAGAAAAAATTATTGGCAACAACATTTACAACAAAACATACAGATTTTTTTACCGAACAAATCAATGGTAAACCAGTGATACGAACATCGGAAATTATATCGACCAATGTTGTTTACAACAGTGATGATCATCTGATTAGGCCAACAAAACCAATGAAAACATATTTCACAACTTTTACTTATTTTACAACATTTAAAAATACAGAAACTGAATTTGTTCATAGCCGGAAAGAGATTGTAACAAATATTGTTGATCCGGACGATGATGATAATTCTGCCATTATTGCACCAACAACAACAACATCATTATCATCATCATCAATCACGTCGTCAAAGATGGCCGAGATTTCCGATGTTGATGATCCACATCTATCATCATCTTCTTCCGCTATTCATTTGATTGACACAAGACCTTTGTCTTCGTCATCATTATCATCATTAATGTCGACTTTGACAGAAACAATGAAAATGAATGATGATAATGATGATGGTCATCATCATCAACAACAACAACAAACGACGATAATACCAACACCAAGTCTTGAAGATGCCATCAAAATTCAATCATCATTGAAAAATAATAATAACAGTAAATCATATTTGGGAAAATTTTTATTATCCGGTATTGCTGTTCCAATAACACATTATACAACATTTACTTATTATACAACTTTTTTTCGTGATCAAACTTCGCAAATTGTTTCACGAACAAATATTATTTCAAATATTGTTACCGGTACGATCAATCTTAATCAACAGCAGACTAATCCGTCACCGATAATGACATCATCCGCATCTTCGGCATCGATACATAAACGTTCGATTGTTGATTGGCCAGTTGCCGAAGCTGAAAATCTACCAATTATCATAACACCGGTTACCGAATTATCGACATCAACATTGTTCACAACGTTTTTCGTACCTGGTCAAGGTTCAACGATTGTAACTCAAACACATATTTATTCGAATATTTTTCTACCCGAAGTTGATGATATTATTCGACAACGTAGTAGTTCGACTATTTCTACACAACAAGTTCAACGTCCGACAAAAACATTTCAAAATGTTGTCTATCCAATTATAGCAACAATTAATTATAATCAAGTTTTGTCATCGAATATCGGTAATCATAATCATCATCCTGAAGAAGAAGTATCATCATCTACATTGAGTCGTAATCAGCAACAACAGCGACAATCATCTTCGATCGGTCATGACGGTATCGTTCGACTTATCAATGGAATACCTGTTTTGGATGATCAAATTGTTTTGAATACAGGTACCGCTGCTGATGATAATGAAAAATCGCAAACCATTGTACCATATATACCACAATCAGTTCGTGAACAAAGATTATCATCATCATCATTGGCTCGTATTGAAATTGAAGGTTCAAATGATGATGACGTTGGAGCAATCACAAACACTGTGACCACAACCCGACGCAAAGTAATCAAAGTAACAAAAACACGAAAACTTTCGAACGGCTCTGGTGATGGTAAATCCACAACGGTTATTATTCGTAGGCCGTCATCATCATTGCGATCCGACGAAGCATCCAATACAATTCATCTTCATCATGATAATGAGGATGATGGTCATTATCATCAAATAGATCGTACTGGACGATTACATCCATCAATAACACCAACACCAGTAACATATTATACAACTTATACTTATTTTACAACCGAATTAATTGATGGTCGTCCTGTTGTCCGTTCGAATGAACATCTTTTTTCAACAGTTATTACTGGAAAAATACTACCCACACGAATTGTACCTGATCAAACAAATTTACGTCGTATTCGTCGTACAGTTTCTTTATCGTTGATTGAATCAATGGATAATATTTCTAGTCCAAACAACGATCATCAATCTTCAGTTGTAGATGGTAAACAAGATGATAATGATTTAGTGGATGTTGTTGATGATGGTGAACAATCATCACCTGTATCATCATCAACAACAACTAGAGAATCCACCAGAAAAATTGGTATCGTTTCCGAAATGACCAATGATAATCTTGTTACACAAATTATTGGTACAAAAATCAATGGATTTTATGCACAATTTGCCATAACAAAAACATTAGAATCCAATGAAATGATAACTACGTTAACTACTGAATCGGTAATGAACGAAACTATCGATATGAATTCAGCGACAATCGATACAACAACCGAATCGAATGAAATTGATCAACAGGATACAACAACAACAACAGAAATGTCGAATATTATTGATGAAGAATCGATTACAACAGAATCGCCACCGATTGATAACAAACAAGATTCTGATGAAATGATGATCGATGATTCATGGTTAAGTGATGAAAATCAAGAATCGATTGATCCTTCTTCAATGTTGATCAGTTCATCATTACCTGATTTGATTGTTGAACCAATATTTACATCAACAAAAGTAACACCAGAATTATGTTCACATTCTTCTTCTTCTTCTTCTTTGTCGGATAAATCGATTATTGATCATCAAACCGGTATAATATCATCAACAATCGAAACAATAACCGATTTCGAACGACAACATTTGATTTATTTAACAAAAGAATTAATCGGTACGTATATTGGAGGTATATATGCACATTTGGCTAAAACACGTTCCGAAACTATTACCACCACTTTACCACCACCACCACCAACAACAACAACACCAACATTACAAACAACAACAATATTGCACGATTTATTATTATCCGGTTCTTTGGATCTTTTTCCATCTATCAATGCTTCTGTTATCACTTCTTCTTCTTCAACTATCCCTACTCCTGCAAAAAATGAAAGCATCACATCTTTTGAATCTGATAATTTGCACGAATCTATGAATGATATTATTTCCTCGCCTACCCCAACCGTATTTTCTCTCAATATTTCTACTTCCACTTCTTCTTCTTCTTATCTGTCTAATTCTGTTGATATCGATGATGATGATAATGGAAAACAATCTACCATTGTTGATTTATGGCCATCATTATCCGGTTTATCATCAATTTCTTATGCAACCGAAACAATCAATAAAACATTATTGATAATACATACAACAGAATTTTATACAACACAAATTAATGGTTTTACAGCACATTATTCACGTGAAACATCCAATTTGATTGGTACAATTGATCCAACAACTATTTCGACTACTGCACGACCATCGGTTCATTTTCCAACACCGGTACGATTTTTATTTAGTTCATCGTCATCAGCATTATCACCAACACCTGTACAACAGCAAATAATTACCACTATTGTTACAGTAACAACAACACTTTTCAATGATCATTATCAATCATCTTTCAATAATGATGATGATGATGGTGGTGGTTATTCATCAACACCATCATCGTCGAATCAAAATTCTGGATTAATTCAAAGTGAATCAAATTCATGGCTATTAGCATCAAGAAAATTATTAAAACCATTTCAGAATTTTATGAATGGAAATTCAAATATGCAATCATCATCATCATCTGGAAATCAAATGCCAAGAAGTCGTACAATACGGGAAAAAGATAATAGACAACCATTTGTTGATTATGATACTGGTAATGTTAATGTTGATGATGATATGGATGTTGATTATGTTGATCAAATTGATACACCAGCTATTAATCGTCAACCGTCATCATTCTCTTCTTCGACAACAACAACTATTGCACCAAAAACTTTGGCTAGAAATTCATATTGGCAACCAAGACATAATAATCAAGCTGGATTTGGTCAACGTGTTGGTGCATCAAATGAACCAAATTCAAATTGGTCAAATACACGGCCAGCTGTAGTAGCTAATGGTGGTGGTCGTCGTCGAACAACAAATACATTACCAGTTGCTGCAACTACATCCGCAACACGTTCATCAGAATTTTTTCATTATAATGATCCTACAAGATTTGTTGCTGCTACAGATGATCGGATAAGATTAAATTCACAAGATCAACGACAACATTCAACATCAAATCATGGTAGAAGTTTGAATCGTAATCGTAGTCTGAATCGTGGACATCGTGGTTATCCATCAACAACCACGACTACGACTACAGCTAGTCCAAGAAATATAAATCTACTTCCTAATCAAAGACTTCGTTTGAATCGTAAATATAGTCGAAATCGTTTACCTCATCAGCAACAACAACAGAAACAACATTCTTCTCAATCATTTCAACGATCATCATCATCAAAATCAAATGGTGATTCAATGATGGATCAACCAAGAAAATTTACACGTGGAAATTATCGTTCAAGATTTATTCAACCATCAATCAATTCTCAACCATCAACAGTATTAACTAGTACTGTATATGCAACCGAAACTATACCGAAAATTCCAATAACAATTACATCAATTGCAACAATAGTAAAAACTGTACCAATTTTTCATGGTTTTCGTACATCATTAGCAACGCTAACAACAACATCATTATCAACAAGTGTTATACCGAATACATCATATGAAACAATTGTCGATAGTGATAATGATAGTATAACACGAACATTATTTACACGTATTACTGATCAATTTGAACCATATAAAATTACCGATATTCTAGTCACTACATCAGCATTACAAGAAATTAAATTAGTTCCTATAAAATTTGGTTATAGTACCCGGACAGAAACATTAACTAATGTTAAAACATTTACAATGTTGACAACATTAGTTTCAACTGATTCATTGTTAATCCCACCACCACCATCATTTTCAACATTATTATCACCAAATTTACCATCGGGTAGTACTATATCGACAACAACATTTGTAACTGAACATACATTATCATCAACCACATCAGTATCATTATTATTACATGGAAAAACATTAATTAGTACATTAACATTTACATCGGTTGCACCAACAACCATAACAAAAACATTAACAGTTCCAATACAAAATGATATTGTTGATTCATCATTAGTAACAACAATGTTAACATTATCAATACGTGGTGATAATGGTGATTTAACTGAATTAGTAACAGCTATTACAGTTTCATTACAACCATCACATCATATTATACAGCCAACTATTATGGCTACAAAAGTTGAACGTGATATTCGTTCAACAACCGATTATAGTCGATTTGATAATCAGGATGATAATCAAAATGATGAACGAATGTTTGATGATGATCAAGAGGATTTAGGATTAGGGTCGATTCTGTTAGAAAGTTCTTCGTCGACTGGACAGCAAACAAAATCTCCAATTCGATCTTACAGGTCACCATCATCGAATAATCGAAAGAATCAAAAGAATCCAAATCCATTTATTTCCGCTTCCTTTATGACTGTTGATTCACGATTACCAACTAAATTACGCAATGATCAGACAACCAAAATTCATGATTCTCATCCTAATAATTTTATTACTACAATTTTTAAAGGTCCAAATACGGAAATATATGAAACAAATGCATTCGATGCTGATTCGGAACAACAATCGCAATCGGGAACTACATTTCAAAAACGTAAACTATTACAATATAATGATAATATTTATAAAGAATTATCATCAACATCCAATGGTGCCGCATCAAATTCATTTCCATCTGAACGTACAAAACCAAATCAACGAAAATTTCAACGTGTACGGATTAAATCCAAATCTGCTACTGGATCATCATCGGATTCATCATCTCGTCTGGCCGAATTCAACCGATTGGTAGGTATTCAATCGGAAAATCAAACACCATCTTTATCACCATCGCAGAATTTCAGCCCCGAATCATTCAATTCATTTCGACGACAACCATTAGTTAATCATCAATTTGATCAACCATTTAATCTTTATAGTAGTGTTGTATTACAATCGATACCATCGATTAGTTCAACAGCATCTTACTTATTGGCAAATAATTTTCAAAAGCCAACATATCGTAAAATTAAACCACAACAACATCATCATAATCATCATCAACAAAATAATCGTCATCGAATTGTTTCAAGTATTCGACATCAATTGAATCCTAGCATTCAACCAAGTCAGGTATTATCATCATCATCATCAACAGCAAATCTAATGATTGCTTCATCGGCTGTACCATCGTTTATTGAAATTCCAAATCAATTTAATCCACATCATCAACATCATCATCAACATTATCCACGATTACCATCAAGTCCACCATTACCAATTCAAACAGATCCCCGTCATGTTATTCAACATATTAATCGTGGAATATTACCAAATAAAAATCGTAATAATCCTGTTAATCAATTTAATGTTCATAATGTAATGGATGATCAACCATCATCATTTGTACATGATACTGGATCAAATTATCCACCACCATTTCATTATGATCAAGATATTCGTGATTCGTCTTCGTCCAATCAATATTCTCCATCATCTTCATCATCATCATCATTATCATCGTCAACAACGGATCAGATTCGACAAGAATCACCATCATCGATTCATACACCAACAATTCCATTAACTTATTATACAACATTTACATATTTAACAACCGTAATACGTGGACAACATACTGCACATCTGAGTAGGGAAAGTGTTACATCAACAATAACAACAACAGCATTGGAAAAAAGTATTGTTGAAATTGTACGTGATTCGGATGGTATTATTGAACCAACAAGGCTGCAGGAATTAGGATCAAAAACTAAAGGCCTGGCTACAACTATTTATAATGCATTATATCAGGTTCAAATTTATAATGAAGATTTATATAAAGTAATACAAAAAACATATAATAAACAAGTATCATTTCGGCAATGGCAACCACCAACAACTACTTCATATCATCCAGTTTTTGTTACAAATCATTTGGATATGCCAAACGAAACACCCGTTATACAACCATCATCATCATCATCGAATGATGAATTTGATTTAAGTCGAACAACTTCGCAGATCAATGTTGATCAATCAACGGAATATCCCGCAATGAATACACCATTGTTGTCTTCGATTCTGGAACCATCATATCAACCGGTTGAAAATACAGTAACTGCTGTTCAACCAACACCGAATATTGATTCAACACTTTTTTCATCATCATCATCATCGACACGACCATCAATCGTTCGAATTAGTTCAAGTGTTGTACGAAAACCATATAATCCACGTTATACTATTAATAATAATCCAATAATGTCATCAAGAAATCGTTTACGTATGCGTATAAGTTCTCGTACATCACATTTACCCGTGGTTGAATCTTCGACATCCACAACCATTTCGGATATGGCTTCTCCATTGCCTTTTGATGATTCTAGTTCTTCATCGACGATTGAAGAAATATCTAGCTCATCAATCAATATTGTTCAACATCGTCCAAATCTATTCCGGTCGAAAGTAATTTTCCGTCCAAGACCAGGACAAACTGTTGGACAACAATTGAATAGTAAAATGATGCGTATTAGTAGCCGATTAGTTCGTCCAGGTGCTACAACATCATCTGATTTATCTTATATGGAAATTTCAAGTCCAACACCGACTTTGATTACATCAACATTACAAACATCAAGTAATTATGAATCTAATGGTGGTAATGATAAAATGGATCATTCGGATGCAGCACGTGCAAATAAATTTGTACGTGTTTCGAATGGTGTAACATTAATCATATCAAGTCGTGTACCAACACCAACACGACCATATACATTTGAACCAACATTAGTAACCGGTGCTGCTGTTTTAATGAAGAATATCCTGCCGGAACAACAAGAATCATCAAATGAATCGATTCAACCAAGTATGACAACCGAAACTGTTGAATATCTTCGTACAAGTACATTATTATCAACAATGACTTATTTTGCAACTTTGTTCAATGGTTCAACATCATCAATAACACCGATTGAAGATGTTAAAACTGAATTTATTACCTTCCCTGATACAACTACTGTAACAAGACCGGTCGATTCAAGTTCTTATCATTTGGATAGTTCAATAACATCGATGTCAAATCAAATATTATTCCATCCAACTGATTATATAACATCAGCACCAAGATTACCATCATCATCATCATCAACTGTATCATCAGCATATCGACCATCATATTTAACCAGTTTGAAAAGTACTTATACAACATTAACCCATTATATTACACTGTTCCATGGATCACATACTGTATTATCATCGATTGAAGAAATAAGTCCAACAATTGTTACCGAAACTTTTGGTCAACAACAAACAAAACCATCACATCATAGTGATGGTCAAGTTTCATCTTCGATCAACGTCGATCATCATCATCATCATATGCCAAATATACGTTATACACAACCAGCAATCGATAAATCGAAAAATCTTTTTGCTGGTTTAATGCCAAGTGTTTCAACATTATTCACTACGCATACTTATTATACAACATTGTTCAGTGGTACAACATCAATCATACAATCACGTGAAGAAATTACACATTCATTGATTACAATGTATGTTCCAAGTAGTCAAATCAATCAACAAATGGCAACATCAACTAGTTCGATTCCTATGACGGCCACTGAATCGCCTAATTCATTTAACAACAACAATAATAATAATTATGAAGATTTTTGGCAATCAATTGCTGGTGGTAGCAATGAACAAACACCACCATTATCAACAACAACAACTTCCTATTCGGATTATGTACCAGAAGATTTGGATGGTGAAATTCTTGTCGGAAGTGGTTCAATTCAATTAGAACCAAGTGTTATTGATACAATTTCAACATTAAAAGATACATCGGATGCAGTGGTTTATTTTACAAATTTTATATTACCAACCAATGTTATTGAATCAGAAAATACAATTGATGGTGCAAAAGGACCATTATTAAATCATGGTGATTTAACATTGATCGGTGATCATCAACAACATAATCATCAACAACATAAACCATCAACAAACATGGCGGTAGTACCATCACCACCTTCAATTCCAACGGATCTGATACAAACACAATCACCTGCTATTAAACCTGGTGCTATAATTGAATTAACCGATCTATTGGATGGTGCTAATCTGGCTGGTAATATTGGTGAAGCAATCAAAGATATTGTACAAATTTTGGCTAAAGGTCAGAAAAATAAAATGACCAATCATCATCATTCTACACCGGTATTAGATAATAATAATAATAATGCTGCTGCATTCGATATTGATCGAACATCAGTTGTTAAAAATTTAATAATGCCACCTAAAGATGGTGCTACAGTTAGCCATTACATGGATGATCCTGTTTATATACCGATTAATCAACCACCATATCCTAATGATCAGGATTTATCACCATCACCAACAATGATTTTACCATCATCATCGATATTTGATCGAACATCTTCAGTATATTTTATGGAAAATATGCCACCTGTAGTTTATGTTCCAGTTGAATTGCCCAACGAATCATCATCATCATCTTCAATCGATATTGAAGCAACTTTACCAAAATTATCTATCGATGATGGAAGAATGATAACATCATCCATTCTGGTTCAGCCATCATTTACAATTCCATCATCTTCATCTTCTGCTACCGTTCGAGAAACATATCTAAAATCACCAATATTCAGTACAGCAGCATCATCATCATCGATTCCAGCCAAATCATCGAATGAAATTCGAACCAAATATGTGACCAATGTTGAATCAACACCATCCATTGTTGTAATGACAACAACAAAGGTTTGTAAATTTAAATTTTGTAAAAAAATGACTTTGACGATAATCAAAAAATTTTTTTTTTCATTAGGTTTATTATACAAGAGATTCACCATTAACAATAACATCATCATATACATCGACAATGCCACTTCGAACTGTTATCACTACTATTGTTGGTTCGAGTACTATTCTGAATACGTATAGTACGGAAATTCGACCGACAAAATCAACTCAACAATTTATTTCGCAACATGGTAGTACAGCGACAACAGGAGATTCCAATAGAATTCGAATGCAAAATGGTGGTACTACATCATCGACAAGCAGCAGCAGTAATGGTGGTGAACAACAACGTACACCATTCCGTCCAACACGTAGACCTGGTGGTATCAATCGATTTAAACCACCATCAAGAGCAACTGAACCACCAAAAATATTCAAAACAAGTCATCGTCCAAGACAGCCATATAAACCATCACCAACACCACCAACGGATTTTGATATCGATCAACAACGATCCGGAGGATCAGCAACAAAAAAGACAACAATATTTTCATATCCAAAAACAACAACACGGCCATCGATTCTTGATCTTGATCAATGTAAACCTGGTTGTAATGCAGCCAATAAAGAAATTTGTAAAGAATTTGATGGTAAATTTAAATGTGATTGTCGTGCTGGTTATATTAAAAAACCAACTGGATCAGATGTTTGTTTAGGTATGTTATTCTTTTTCTTTTTTTTGATTTTGTTATAAAATTTATGAAAATTCATTGTTTTTTTTGTTTCCTTTTGCTGTAGAATTGCAAAACTTTATCGTATTGGTTCGTGTTACCAGATTAGGTGATCAAGAATTAGAATGGAATAGTATACTAAGTAATCATACATCAGATTTATATCAGAATTTAGCCCAGGCTGCAAGAAATCAAATTGATTCAGCTTATATAATGATTAGTAGTATGAAAGAAAATTATATCGGTACAGATGTTTTAGATATTAATAAAGCACAAGATGGACATGGTGTTTTAGTTAATATGACTATTCATTTAACCGAATCAAATAATATTGATGAAGATTTAATTCGTGAAGAATTATCAAGAACATTGATGATGAAACCACAATCATCATCGTCGTCGGCACATACGTCACACGATTCATCATCATCATCTTCTTCTTCTTCCGAACAATTACCAAGTCCACAACAAATTTTTGCCGATTTAGAAGATGTTATTGATTTTGATGAATGTAGTTCGGATGAATATAATGATTGTGCTAGTTCAGCACGTTGTATAAATGAACCAGGATCATATCGTTGTGAATGTTTAAATGGTTATCCGGATTTAGATCTTTCATTCCCCGGTAGAATGTGTGCATCCGAAATTAAAGCCTGTGAATTTTGTTATGGTCGTGGTGATTGTTATCGTGATGATACTGGACAAATAAGTTCTTGTAAATGTCATCGAATGTATTTAGGACGTCGATGTGAAATAAATGGTTTATGTAAGTTTTGAATTGATTCATTTTTAAATGTTTTATTTATTTAATCATTAATTTCTTGTATCCATCATCAAACAGTATTGGCTATTTTCATTCCAATCATTGCTATACTAAGCATCATTACAATTTGTTCAATTGTTTATTGTTGTCGAAAATGGCGTAATCGTGCATTGGTTAAAGGATTCCGAAATTTTAGTGCTTATGGTCCTAATATGATTGGTTCAACATTAGATCGTAAAGCAATGCTGGAAACTTCAAGTGATAATAGTGATCCATTAAGATCACATATATCATATGATGGTCCAGCGGCTATAACTACTGTATGTATCGTATATTGATGTTGTATGCATTTATTTTCAATTGAAATCAATTTTTTTTTTGCAGGCGGATGCTACATTACCGAGAGAATATAGACGTCGTCGTGAAAGTGAACATCCACATTCACATACACATCATCATCATGATCATCATCCATATGTTGGTAATGATATGATGGTCGGTGGTGGTGGTGGTCAATCATATCCAAACATTAATAATACTAGTTCAATAGTTCCATATAATTTTAGTACACAATTTATGATACCAAGAGTTCGTAATGCTAGTTCAACAAGTTTACAAACTTATGGTAACAATCAAACCAATAACAGTAATAATAATCATGGTGGCCGTAATCATAGACATCATTATCATGGTCAAAATAACGGTAGTCATGGACATTCACATAGTCATCATCATCATCATCATCATAATCATTCTTCATTACAACAACAACAACAACATCATCATCATACATCATCCGGTTATGATTATGATGGCGCCAGTGGCGGTAATCATCGTCAACATCAATATGCTGCTTGGTAAAATTGATTCAAAAAAAAAAAAAATCGAAAATAGAAGCCATCTAACCAACCATCATCGTCATCATCATCTGCCTGCCATTTAATGATTTAAATTAAAATCGACAAAATCAAATTCAAGACGCGAGGTACATTGGTACCAAAAACAAAACTGTTGTGTGATCAAAAAATTTTTTTTCATTTCATTTTAATTGTAATCAATTTTTTTCCGTTTTTTTTTGTTTTTTATTTTTTTTATTGATTTTCATCATCAACATCATCATCACATCACGATGAAAACAAACAAACAATTTTTTTTTCGCTTACTCCTACTCAATGAATATGGATTCTCTTTTTTTTTCCGTTTCAGATTTTATTTTTAATCATAGGATTCGAAACATCATATGTACAATCTCTATTGTAATAGTTGAATGGATTACTCGAGAGGATTATTTTATTATTATTATTTCTTTCTTTTTTTATTGTTTCGTTAATTGTTTTTTTTATATATAAAAAAAAAATTTCTTATTTTGCACTCAATTTTTTTTGTCACCAATTCTTTACTGCCTTTATGATTCTGTGTGTGTATGTGTTTATCAAGAATTTGTCCAAAATACATACAATTTTTTTTATTTCATTTTGTAAACATTTGTTTGCAATTTTGATTTGATTTTTTTTTCACTTGTTTGTGTTTGTATTATATAAATATTGAAAAAAAATCGGTTAACAAATTCTTCTTTCGAATGATGACCAATAACTGTTTATTCTTTTTCTTTTATTATTATTTCAAATATTTTCAATACAAACATATATATTTCGAATGAAAGAACATACTCGATCAAATAATAATGTTTTCTTTCTTTCTCTTTTTTGTTCAAATGTTGACTGAAATTTTTAATTGTTTCTTTTTTTTCAATATTAAAAAAAATGTGTAATGTTTATAAAATTTGTCATTTAACGATAATGAATCTATTTAATTTAATCGAATTTTTCTTTATTGTATCAACATATTTTCCCCTTTCTTTCCTTCTTTTTTTTCTCTTTTTTCACTTTTGTGTATCCATTCAATACATTTATATTGACATTTTCTTCACATTGTAACATTATATTTTCATTTTAATTATCAGTTGATTGAAAAAATAAAATAAAATAAATTGAAACTTCATACGTAAAAAAAACTAGATCGAAATGATTGTCCACCCTACAAATCATACAATCGATATGAGAATAAATAAACAAACAAACATTGAAAGGAAAACCAATTTTGTTCAAATTCATTCAATAAATGAATGAATGAAAATATTAATGTTATTTTTTGTTTCTATTTGAACACTGTTCAAATGATGAAATTCGATATCATGATCTTTTTTTCTTCTTCGTTTTTTTTCACTGTTTACCTCTTTTATACAACTATTGTTTTTTCATTAATTGATCCATTAATTTGATTGCGCGATTGACAATGGAAATTTTTATTTTATTTGAGAATTTATTTAAAGTAAAATTATTAAATCGATTTTTATCAGTGTGATTTCAATCATTATCGTGACAATTTTTATATATTCAATGTCTGGGTGAATTAGAGAATTGTTACTGAGAAAATATTAAATTGATTTAAAATTGAACAAACATGCAAATAAACAAACAAAAAAAAATAAAAGAAAAAAAAAATAAGAAAAACGAATCTCTGGTTCGTTTGGAAGGGAACGAAAAAAAAACTTGTCGTGATTAAGAAATGAAAGTTAATGCAAAAAAATGATATTTGACAAATGTTGAAAATACTTTGTTGGAGTGAAAGTCAAGACCAAGATGATGATCTTATCAAACTTTGTGTGTGTGCGTGTGTGTGTGATAAGATTTACAATAGTAAAAGTTAGTATGATTGTGATTGATTACGTTTTCAATCAAGAAATGAAAAATGGCGTAAACAACAAACACAAACAACAAAAAAAAACAAACAGAAAAATCTGGTCGCCATTTGAATTGAATTAAATCGAACAAACAACTTAAAAACTTAACAAAGATTGACTTATTATTCATTATTGATCTTGAAGATTGATCGGACAAATTAAAGATGCTGGTTGTTGACTGGGGGGTTCCAGATCCAACATTGGTTCATAACCAAATTCAATTTGATTATCATATTGACCACTGGATACAAGACGTACGGCTGTATTTGTACACATTACAGTAAAACGTTTTTTATCTATAATTTACAAAAACAAATATGTTCAAATGAAAAACATTAATCAGATAAATAATTGTTTTTTTAATCAGAAAACAATCAAAAAATAAGGATCACTTACGTGGAAATGGTCGAAAACCACAAACGTCATCGCCAATTTGCATCAATTGTGTGTCCAAACCTTGACCACCACGAAATTCAACATAATCATTCATGCCTCTTTTTTTACACTGAAAACAAAAAAAAACCAATAAGATTAACCCGATTGTAATGTTAATTTTTCAACAACAAAAAAAAAGTAAAGTAACACTAACCTTTTTGATAACACCAGTTTCGGCGACGTAATTTTTTGGTGAATGAATCATACTATCCAAACGACGATAACTTTGGCCAACATTCATCGATAATATACGAAATGATGCGCTAAACAATATCGACATTGTACAATTAATACGACGACCATAATTTCTTAATGTATAGATTCCATAATTGACACCTTGAATGATTGTATTACATGCTAAACCAGGAAAAAAGATTGTCAATAAGCACAATGCATTTTGGCCGAATATAACTTACGTTTAGGATTTTCAACAAATCTAACCCGAACAGTAAAACCTTGTCCAACGTTCGGTATACGATATTCGATCAGACCAACATTTTGTGACATACGAAAAATTTTTTTCGGCTTAACATGACCACAAAATTCATGATAACGTGCATCGCGTGGAATTGGATGATCTTCTACACTTGGAAAAAATTGTCCCATCAATTCCCATCCATCTACTACGCTTAATAATCCATTTTTATGACAGCTAACATCAAATTGTAAAAATTCTATTTCAACAAATTGTGTTGGACTGGCCATCAGATATAGGCCACAGACTAGATTACTTTCATCTTCCGATGTCAAAGTATAAATGCCTTCTTCAGTTTTTACAAATATACAATCTATTCATACGAAAATGACCAACAAATAAGAATAATTGTTTTAGTTAATTAATTATCGACTATATTGATCTTATTTTACCTTTTGGATTTAATTGTACAATATTTTCAGTAATATTTTGTGTGGCCAACATCATCATATTATCCATAAATGATGATGATGATGATGAAGATGATGGCAATGTATCAGCATTGAATAAATCATTTTCTTTTGCTGTTGTTGCTAATGTTGGTGGTATGATGACACCAATTTCATCTTGTTGTTCATTAATATATGGTATGGTTGATTGTGGTGGTAATATCTGTGGATTTTCTAGCATCATACTGTCATCATCAATCTATAAAGAAAGAAAGAAAAATAAATGATGAATTATGGGTAAAATATTGTATTGGAGCAATGGTTTTTTTTAATATTGAGAATTGTCATCATTGTGCGGGTCAATTGATAATCGAATCAATCATCATTCTTTTCATAATGCAAAAATAAAAATAAATAATGTCCATGTTCATCGGAATGAATTTTGTTTGTTTGTTTGTTCATCGAAGCGCAGCATCACACACACTACAGTTAAAATAGTATCGAATGACATGGATGTGAGAATTTTAATTCGATTCTGAATTCATCTCATCTTGAATTACTCCGAAAAAAATCTAATAATTGTATTTCGAACCCGAAAAAAATTGGGCCAAACCGATTAATCATCATCATTGTGATCAAATTGATTTGCTGACAAAATTTGTTCAAATGATGTGTGTGTATGTGTTCCAATTTGTTTGTATCGCACATAATGAATGAATGAATAAATTCAACAAACTTACCAATTGATTTAATTGATCCATATCGACAATAACAGGATTTGTTTGAATAATTTGTATTGGATTGAATATCATCAAACTAAATAAACTGATGATGAATATTCGATATTCATTTGATGATGGCATTATCATTATTATCATTCTTTGTGATCTGATTTTCATATTTACGGGTTTTTGATTATTATTTTGATTTTCAATTATTTGGCAATACAATTTTGATTTTTGTTGATGGAATGCTGCTGCTGTTGTTTAAATTTGTAAAAAAAAATTCTTAATAATATCTTTTATCTTGTTGTTGTTTTCTTTGATTGGTGTTGGTTAAGTACAATTTTGTTTGAAGCAAAGAAGAAATAATAAACAATTTCAATCATAATAATATCAACAAATTATTGATTTCCGAATTTTGTCGTTTGTCGTCAGACTTGAATAGGATCTGGGAAAATGTCAATGAAAAAAAAATGACAAACAGAATTTTTTGTTTTCTTCGTTCTTCCTAATATATTCTCACTGAACACTTTTTTAGTTTCCTATATTCGGAATCGATCGCTGGAGAGAAATACAGAATTCCTTTTCTGATCGGATTCAGAATAAACTATGGATGTTGTTGATTATGACGAAGAACCCGAAAAAAAACCAAACAACGTAGACAATTTAATTTGAATGATTAGAATATGCAACAACACGAATATCATGAGAGAAATTGTTTTTTTTTTTGGTCGTGCAATAGTTATGCTGAAAATGTTTGGAATGTTTGCGTATGTGACACTGATATAGGGAAATAAATTTTCTGATGAATAATGAATTTTACAGAAAGTTCTTTTTTTTGACAATTTTCTTTCGGATGCAAAAAAAACACTGATGATGACGATGATGATGATGATCATTACCTTCCGGATATTGAAATATTCATTTAGTCCATTTATTGAATGTAGCAAAGACGAAAAAAAGAAGAAACAATGTTTCAATTGGAATAATAAAAAACACTATATATTGATGATGGTTGTTAGTTTGAAACTATCGAACAACTGGTTGACTTGTTTCGATTCAATTCAGTCACTTAAATACTGTCGTCTTGTTCGTCGTTTCCTTACTTTGATGAACTTATTTTTTTCTTTTTTTACTTGAAACGATAAAAAGATCTTTCCTTTCCTTTCGTATTCATTCGTTTTGTTTGTTTGTCGTCGGCCTCAATGGCCTTACTAATATAGAAAAAAAAAGTTGGCGCATGTTTTTTTTCTTTTTGGACAAGATGTTTTTTTCCACTTGTTTCAATTGATTTTCTTCAGTTTTCTTCATATTCGTCATTCGCTCCGAAAATTGTCCATTTTCTTTTTTTTTCTTTGTTTTGTTGTTGTTGTTGTTCAACATAACCAGATAACCAAATATTACGTTGGTTTCGATCATTCAGTTCAGTTTAATTAATCAGATCAGCAAATATTATTCACAAGAACAAAAAAAAAATAACCCTGAAAAAAACAATAATATTATTATTAATAAGAATCACAAATGATTATCATTATACCTATGAATTCTCTTCTTTCTTCGAATCAATAGAATAATCCTAAGAAAAAAAACAACGAAAAAAAAATATATGTGGGATGTATTTTCGTTTTCGTTTCGATGGAAAAACCTAAAAGAAAATTAAAATGAAAATGAAAATTTTATCTAAATTAAGTCCATTTCAAATAATGACCTGCATTCACAATTCTTTTTTGTTTTTGTCTTTCAATTTCATGAAATTCAAATACATTTTGAATTTTCTTTCTTCTTTTGAATTTGTTTTATCTTTTTTGGCTGGCGGAATTAACCGGAATCAATAGAAACATTATTATTTGCCTTAAACAAACAAAAAACTGCAACAAAAAAAAATTTAAAAAAAAAAATATAGTTTTTGTTCTTGAATTTGAGAAATGATGACGATTATCAATCATCATTGAAAATAAAAAATGAAAAGGAATACTTTCCATTCATTCATTCATTCAACCAATATAGACAGCCATAAGAATGGAAAGAATTCACAGAATGATGCTAAGAATATCTTTTTGCTTTCGTTGAAATTTGGGAAAAAAACTATGATTTCTTCTTTAAATTGTAATCATCATCCATACGGTTATTATTTATGATTGATTATCCCATTCATTCATTACCATAGTTTTACATAACTATAGTTAAATGCCGGAAGAAAACATTACATTATCGGTTTTTTGGTTGTTTATTTTTCGAAAAGGAAATGCATATTTTTCAACCAAATTGACCACATTATAATGATATTTGTCGTTATCTTGTTTGGTATTTCCAAATTGCAACATACATGACATTCCTCATCATCAAGTGGAATTCGATCAAGTTTTTGCTGTTGTTGATGATTTGGCTGTGTTTTCGATCTATTAAAAGTTAAATTTATTAAGAGAAAAATATTTTAGATTGGAATGCCTGGAACGAAAAAACAAAAAATTCTTTTTCTCACCTTAATGATCATCATTCACCATAATAATCCTTCCATTTTTTTCGCATAGATAAAATGATGTTTGGAATGTTATTTATTTGACAAAAAATAAAAAAAGATCCCTCCAAGCTAAGCAAAAAAAAGAAGAAAATGTTTTTTTCTCTTCATCTGATTAATGTGATATATAAGAATTGGGAATTCCCCGTAATGGAAAAAATCAACAACAAAAATTTTTTTCATTAAACTTGTACCTTTCTTTTGGTTTTGCCCATTAGTTGTTTATTTCGAAAAATTTTATCCATTCGAAAGAAAAAATCATACCTGATATTGGTTCAAATGAAACGGTCATGGACAGTCATTGATGACTACAGAACCTAGAATAATCAGTGTGAAAAAACAAAACAAAACAAAACGATTATTATTATCATATCATAGAGTATTACACTTAATTTAATAATAATACAAAGTAAAATCATGAATATTGAATAATGAGCTATTAAAAAAAAATAAATAAATAGAATGTTGTTAAATAGCCTAATTTAATTAACAAAACTATTAAGATATTAAAATTTATACCGTCAAATGAATTTATTATTATTGTTATTTTTATTTTTGCAAACAAATGATAAAATACATTTCAACTTTTGACAATGAACCATGAACCATTTTAAAAAAATGAATAATAACAAAAAAAAAATATTGCACTCAATTATCTTTTTATTTTTTTCATTCTGGCGTCAAGATTTTTTCGATAATGATAATACAATTCGTTCGAATCGAATGTCGCTAAATTTAGTTACATTTTTTTCATGTTATACAGTGCTGCCCTCTAATGGAAACCGATCGAATCGTTTTTTTTTAGTGTTCGAAACTTACGCAGTACATTTTTCATTTGATTTTTGTTTACTTTTTATTTCTTTCAGACGAATCGCGATTTTGCTTTGAAAACAAAAATAATTTTTATTTTGTTGTTGTTGTTGATTAACCTTGAAGAATGAATTATTAACTTTATAATGATGATGATTAGTATAATCAAATCAGATTAATTGTAAATGGGAAAAACAAAATGAATTATCTAAATATAATTTCATCGTTATCTGAATGGTGGTCATCAATGACCAAAACGAATACAAAAATGAATTTTTTTGTTGAATTTTTATATAGTATCTATATTGATCATCGTGAATTGGCATTTGAAAATCCACGTACATTATTTTTATATTGTTTATTATCATTGATTTTTATCGTTATATTTCTTTATCATTTAAATAAATTACGAAAAAAAGTAACAAAAGTTATATTACCTGATGAAACAAAACCACGATTCCGTAAACGTGATAAAGTAATGTTTTTTGGTCGAAAAATTCTTCGTAAAGTTCGTTCATCCGTACCAGATCCAAGTAAGTTATTAAATTGAAATGATAATTTACACAATTTTTCTATAATAATCAATTTTTTTTAATTTAATTCAGTTCGTCATCGTGGGCGAAAACGTCAATTGGTTCTTAGATTTGCCAAAAGATTACTTCAATTAAAAAAAGATGATCCATTAGAATTGAAAGTAAAAGAACCATCACAAGCATTTTTAAAAGAAGAAGATATTTATGATCCAGCTGGACATGATTTACCTGAAGAACTTGTCTATATGATTCATGGTATTCGTGTTTTAGGATTTTTTGAAAAGCCATTATTTTTAAAAATGTGTCAAAAAATCGAAGAAATTAAAGTAATGAAAGGTGAATTTCTTTTCAACATAAATGATTCAGATGATAGTATCTATATTGTTAAAAGTGGTGAAATTAAAGTTACACTTAACGAACCGGATGGATCGACTCTTTTATTGAAAAATGTTTTGGCCGGTGAATGTATTGCCAGTATGTTATCAGTAATGGATATATTGAATGGTTATCCATCCAAATTTAAAACTGTATCCGCTACAGCTATCCAGGATAGTGAAATATTACGTTTGAAAATTGATGTTCTCAAGCAACTTGTCGATGAAAATCCTGAAATGCTGATTCGTGTTGTTCAAATTATTATGGTTCGTTTGCAACGTGTAACATTTACATCGTTGTACAAATATCTTGGTTTGACCACGCAGCTAATCAAACCTGGTATTCAACTGCCAAAACGTTCATTGGCAAATATTAATGCAACTTTAATGAAAAAATCAAGTCCTAGTCGAAACATTCGAAATGGTATTGGTGCTGGTGGTCATCATCGTTCTTTTTCAAATGCCGATGCTATTGATCTAAGCAAATTGATTAAAACTGAATCAACAGCACTTCATGAAGCAACATCATCATCACCAAAACTTAGTCGACAAGAATCAGAAGATCGATCTCGATTTTTAATGATGAAACGAAAAAAATCTGTACTTGGTGATGATCGTACTGCTGGTATGACTTATGATGAATTAGTCGATATGGCAATTACTGATTTGAAAATCATTCTTAACATTGATGATGGACAAATTCTACGTGATCATATAAAAGTGAAAGAATTTTTTCGTGATGCTTGTCTAGCTTCAGAAGAATGTGCTGATGAAGTTAATCTGATATTTGTTCTTTCCGGATCGATAACCATATCGCATAAATTGATCGATTCGGATGAAGAAGCTAATCTTTATACTGTTTATCCTGGTGAATTAATCGGTGCATTAGATGTTCTTAGTGGTGAAGAATCAATATTTACAGTAAGAACTAAACAAAATAGTAAAGTTGCCGTCATTTCTCGTGATGGTGCCTATGATATATTGGCTAAATATCCAAGAGTTGCATTGAATTTAGCTCATACCGTTATACAACGTTTATCACCATTTGTTAGACAAATTGATTTTGCTTTGGATTGGAATCATTATGAATCTGGTCGTGCTATTTATCGAATTGGTGAAAAATCCGATTGTACATATATTGTATTGAGTGGACGTCTTCGTTCAGTCATAACATTAAGTAATGGAAAACGTCAACTTGTTGGTGAATATGGTAAAGGTGATTTAGTTGGAATTGTTGAATTGATCACACGAACACCACGATCATTGACGGTTATCGCTGTTCGTGATACTGAATTGGCCAAACTTCCAGATGGTCTTTTGGAAACGATAAAAACTAAATATCCGGTCGTAGTGACTCGTTTAATTCATTTGCTTGGTCACCGGTTATTGGTGGGCAATAGTATGTCATCGTTAAGTAGTGGTAAACCAATTTCATATACTGGTTCACGACCAACTGGATCAAATTTTTCAACAGTAGCTTTATTATCGGTAAATGATGAAGTACCATTACATGCTTTTTGCTATGAACTTTATCATGCATTAACAGCTATTGGTTCAGTTGAACTTTTAACATCAGATTTTGTACGGAAATGTTTAGGACCAAATGCATTAGATCGACAAAATGAATATCGTCTTTGTCATTGGCTTGGAATTCATGAAGATAAAAATAAAATTGTTTTATATCAATGTGATAAAGGATATTCAGCATGGACACAACGTTGTATACGTCAAGCTGATTGTATATTGATTGTCGGTATGGGTGAACAAGAACCAACTGTTGGTGAAGTTGAAAAACAGCTACAATATTTATCGATGCGTACACAAAAAGAATTAGTTTTATTACATCGATTAGATGGACCAAGACCTAAAAATACTGTTGAATGGTTAAATATGCGTGATTGGTGTTCATCACATCATCATATTCGTTGTCCAAAACGTGTATTTATTAAACGTTCACCATTAAAATTACGTGAATATTATGAAAATGAAGTAAAAACGCATCATCCATCAATATTTTCAGATTTTTCAAGATTGGCACGATTTCTGACAGGAAAATCTATCGGTTTAGTTCTTGGTGGTGGTGGTGCTCGTGGTATAGCACATATTGGAATGATCAAATCGATTACCGAAGCTGGTCTACCTATTGATATGGTTGGCGGTGTTAGTATCGGTGCATTTATGGGTGCATTATGGTGTCAGGAAAATAATCTGACAACATTTACACAAAAAGCTCAAAGTTGGTCAAATGGAATGACATCGTATTGGCATCAAATTCTTGATCTAACATATCCATCCACTGCTATGTTTACTGGTCATGCTTTTAATCGTTCGATTAATGAAGTTTTTGGTGAAGTACAAATCGAAGATCTTTGGCTACCTTATTTTACTGTAACAACTGATATAACATCAAGTTGTCCTCGTACACATCGACATGGTTCATTATGGCGTTATGTTCGTGCTAGTATGTCATTATCTGGTTATTTACCACCACTTTGTGATCCTATTGATGGCCATCTCTTGTTGGATGGTGGTTATGTTAATAATCTTCCGGCCGATATAATGCATGATGTTATGGGTGCTGAAATCATATTGGCTATCGATGTTGGTAGTCAAGATAATTCCGATCTCACTAATTATGGTGATACATTAAGTGGATGGTGGCTTCTATGGAAACGATGGAATCCATTTACCGAACCTGTTCGTGTACCAAATTTACCCGAAATTCAATCTCGATTAGCTTATGTTTGTTGTGAAAAACAATTGGAAGAAGTTAAAAATTCTGATTATTGTTGGTATATTCGACCACCGATTGATGGTTACAAAACATTACAATTTAAAAGTTTCAAAGAAATTATGAATGTTGGTTATCATCATGGAAAAGCTGTATTCAGTACAGTTAATTTTGGTGATGAACGTTCCGTATTCGAATTGTTCAACAAAGAAAAAAATCAAATTCGACGTAAATCAATCATATCGAATTCAAATTATAATGAATTTATTGCTGGTGGTGGTGATCAATCAATTAATGATCGTCCATCATTAATGTTTATTGGTGGTAAATCACCACGACAAGCATCATTTACTGATTTAGCTGAAAGAATATGTAATATACAAAATCCATTGGTATCAAATGAATTTGAATTTGATGATATAACTGAAGATGAAGACGAAAGAGCTGATAATGATGATGATGATGATGATGAAGAAGAAATGATGACTAATTATTTCTCCGAACCAGAATTACGTGATACCGATACTGATATTGAAAATCTAATTGATCGTAAAATTAGTAACGAAGTTTAATATTTTTGTTATTAGCATTAATGTTGTTCATATTTTTTTTTTAATTTTTTAAGTTTGAATTTTTTAACCAAATAAAAAAAATTTGTTATTAAAATTGAAATTTGTTGCTGTTGCTTTAACCCTTTGCGCTTTTTTTTAAATAAAAAGTAACACAGAGAATGCATAGCCATACAAAGATTTAAAAAGATTTTATTTTTTATTGAAAAAAATTATTATTCAAACATAATTGGATGTGATATTGATTATTTTTAACCAATAGTTGCTAAATAATCTTTAACTTCTCCGGGTGATAAACGTTTGAAACCATTTTTATTACAAATACCAATTTCAATATTATCCTGTGTCATTTGTCCTTCAAATGATTCTTTCAATGTTAATATTGCCGTTTGAATGGCATCTTCTAATTCAAGATCTTCACTATATCTTTTTTCCAAAAATGATTTACCATTTATATGATTTTTACCCAATGCTGTTGCTTTCCATGCAAAATAAGCACCCTGTATCAAGATAGTGAAAAAAATAAGATTTGTAAATTGATAATCCTTTTACTAATAACACTTACAGATGGATCGCATTGAAACAAATAAGGACGATCATCATTCCAACCTGCAATCAATAATGATACACCAAATGGACGAACACCACCAGATTGTGTATATTCTTGCATAATATGAGCAACACGTTGAACTAATTGTGTAGTTGGAATTGGTTCTGAATATACAAGAAAATATTCTTGGGCAATTTTTCTTGCTTTACGTACAAGTAGACGATAATCTGGGCCCATACCCGAATAAATCATACCAATATGATCGGTAACTTGTTCAACTTTATAAAGACTATGTTCTTCAGTAAGAATAGAATTGGTTTTCTTTTCAGTTGCCATAACCACTCCATTCATTGCTAATTTATTTTGGATGATCATTATTATAAAAAAATATCACTGCATATCAATTAAACAAACCTTTGATTCCAACTGAAGAAGCGCCGGCAGCAACAGCAGCTAAGGCATATTCAATTTGAACCAATTTTCCCGAAGGACTAAATTTAAAAAAAAGGAAAATTAATGTTCGAACATCTTTATTATATGATTCAACCAATACCTGAATGTTGTCAATGAAAAACTATAACGTTCACTGGCCATAATGCTAAATTTTTAATTTGAAAAATTGATTTACCAAAAAAAACAAACAAACAAAATGACAATGCAACACCTGAAAGAAAAACTCGTGAATGATTCGGCAAAACCAAAGTATGACCGACTATATTGACATCGATTGATCCAAAAATGTTCTTTTGTTCATCAAATACTCCTGTCGATAGATGGCGTGATAGATGATTACATTTAGATATTTAAACTTTGTTTTTATCATTTTTTTTTTGAAATTATATTTTTATTATTATAATATCAATGATTTTAAATATGAAAGTGAAACCGTTTTTTGATAATGATTATTCAAATATTATGAACATATACTGTGTAATTAAATGAAGATGTTTGTTTTGTTTGGAGATTTGATGAATATGAATTGAGAATGAGAATGTGAAAAAAAATCGATATTACATCAATATATGAGATCAAGCAGCAGTGTTCATATAAGAATCTAAATCTTGATCCAAACTTTCAACCGTAACTCGTTGATTATTATTCTTATTTTTTCTTATAATTCGTTGTCCGATGTTACGAATTCGATTCCTTGGTACTCTATTGTTGACAATATTCATTGGTCGATTTTTTGATTTAAATACCTGTGTCCCACGACGCATATTGCTATTATTAGTGATAAAGCCATTTGTTCGATTCTGTAGATTGATTCCTATAGAATATTATGACAATAAATAATGATTGATTCATCAAGTAATTCAGAGAAAAAAAATTACAAACTTACGTCCACTCGATTTGAGTGTTTGTGCCAGACCAAGACGTTGAGCAATCGGTTTTCGTCCTAATCGATTTTTAATACTGCCAGTAACTAAATTACCATTTCGACGAATTGAATTACCCGATCGTAATCCTAATCTTGCTCGAACACTCGGTATATTTGCGGCTCGTTTATTATTGATGGCAAGATTGTTATTATTTGCCTGTTGTTGTACAATAGGCAGATTAACAAACATCTTAGTATTTTGATTTTTTAATTCTTCCATCAATTGAGTGTTAGTAGCCATTTGAAGTACTAATCGTCGATTTCGTTCAGATCCTTGTTGAAGTATAGCACGTGGACGTTCATTACGTGAAACAGTACCATTAAAATTTTTCATTGGGCGTGCAAGTTTTTCACCAGGTGATTCTATCGATGGATTAACCATAATTTTTCTTGTTTGTTGTTCTTGCCGAATCAATTTAAAACGTTCACTCAATGTAAGACGTGTACCAACTTTAGATCGGTCCATTTTTTTCTGGATCACACAAAACAAAAACTAATTGGAAAAAACAAAAGAATTTCAATTAAATTCAACACTGACCATTTGACCTAATTATTACCCAGACCAGTAATGTAGAATTTACAATCTGAAAATTTCGAAAAACTATCGGAATCTTAGATAAATTTGGATGAAAATGACGTAATCCTGATCAAAAAAATAAATGTGTTTACCGAACAATATCACTCGCCTCACAAACAAACACAAAACAGTGAAGAACATGTTTCAACAAAAAACAATCGAATCGAATTATATATCGAATCTGATTGATTCGAATAATCGTTCAGAGATGGCGTGCGCTCGAATAATTTTTTTTTCTGTTTACATTTGATAATCGGTGAAAATAGAATCGAAAATTTTCTTTAAAAACTTTTTAAACAAAAATGAAATTCTTAAGGTTTGTAAATCATCATTTAATTTCGATAAATTATCGAAAAATTGATCATAAATTTTTATTATGGTCATATAATTTGAATTTGAATTTTTTAACATCAATGAAACGTTCTATTTTCAATGATAATAATAATATTTCTCAAATGAAATTTCTTAGGTTTGAAAATGAATTAATTTGTTTCTTTTTTTTTATAAATTTTCATTTCTATTTAGTCAAACAGAAGCGATTGCTGTCGATCAAGAACTTTTTAATGAATATCAATTTAGTGTTGATCAATTAATGGAATTGGCTGGTTTATCCGTTGCATCGGCTATTTATAAATCAGGTTCACTGGATTCGTTTTACAAACCACCACGATCAGTATTGATCATATGTGGACCTGGTAATAATGGTGGTGATGGTCTTGTTGCTGCTCGTCATCTAAAACATTTTGTAAGTAATCAAAGACGATAATATGATTGAAATAATGAGTTTTTGTTTGTTTAGGGTTATCAACCAGTTATTCTATATCCAAAACAAGGAAAAGGACAATTATTTGCTAATCTTGTAAATCAATGTAAACGAATGGATATTGAATTTATCAATAATGTTGATAATAATTTAGATCGATATGAATTGATTGTTGATGCTCTATTTGGTTTTAGTTATAAACCACCATTACGTCCAGAATCTCGACCAATATTGGAATATTTAGCTCGAATTGATCATCAACAAAAACGTTTAATTTCGATTGATATACCAAGTGGTTGGCATGTTGAACAAGGACCACCATCATCTGAAAATGATCAATCATCAACACCAATCATCAAACCGGATTGTTTGATATCATTGACAGCACCGAAAAAATGTGCAAAATATTTTCATGGTCAATTACATTGGTTGGGTGGTCGTTTCGTACCACAATCATTAGCTCGAAAATATCAATTAAATTTACCCGATTATCCAAATGATGAACAATGTTTATTAATTAATTTTTCTAAATAAGAGAAAAATCTCTTCTCCTAGATTAAAAATTCCAAATTTTATCACTAATTAAAAGAAAATTAATCAAACAAAACAATCAATCAATCGAATGATTAATTAATTTGATTGATTTGAAAGATTGATTAATGAGAATCATAAAACAAAAATTTTATGGCCGAAATAAACAACAAAATTGAAAAAAAAATTTCACTATCAATTCGAATAAATTTGACATTTCGAAATGCGCATGACACTTTTTTGTTTTTTGTTTTTTTTGTATGCAGTTTCATAGAATAAAAAGGCGTGTCTTTTATCCTGAAATTCCCACCCACAATGAAGGTGTGTTCCCAGACAACTAACCAATTGCCATTATCATCATTCATTCATTTGGTTATTTGGTTTTAGTCATTTACAACCTACCCAATCAAGTTTTTAGTTATATAAACGGGGTTTTTTCTTTTCTTTTGTTTTTTCAATTTACTAAATCAAATTTTTGTTTCAAATTTTTATTTTTATTTCATCAAATTTTGGTTGGTTGTTTGGTTTTTATCTTTATTTTTAATGTTCAAATTTCATTGTCATGATTGATTTACAATGTAATACTTTTTTTAATTTGATTTCTTCAAGATTGATTGATGGTATGCCATTCTTCTTTTGATTTAAATGAGTTCACTGGCATCACCAATTAGTAAATCTTATCTTTCTTTTTTTTGTTACTTTCATCATTTTTCGGATGATGATAATAATAATTATGATTTTCAAAGACAATTTTCACATCATCATCATCATTATGATTAACAATGGCGGTGATGGTGGTCCTAATCATCATATAATAGTCATAATCAAGCAAATTTAGTCAACAGATAAATTAGTAGATTATAACCGTTGACCATCATCATTAACAAAAAACAAAAAAAAAATCTTGTTATAGGACACAGGACACAATAGAGTAAAAATAGTTTTTTGTTTCATTCCATAATTTTCATTATTGATGGCACCCGTCTCTTATCAATAATGATAATCTCGTCAGAAAGTAGCCATTGTTGTTTTTTTTTTGTTTTGTCAAAGAAATTATCACATCATTTTCATTCATAAACAACGACGATTATGATGATGATGATCTTGAATGAATCTTGATTAAATAAATGCAGAAAAATAGAGTGGTAATTTTTTTAAAAAATCTTGATTTTTTTCGGCTTTGGAACATCATCGTTATTATTGAGAGAGTCGAACAGCAACAACTTTTATGTTTTTCTTCTTGTTTCTTCGAAAGTATCATGTGTTCAGAAGCCAGTTTTTTTTCAAAAAAAAGAAAAATCCTTGTTTAACAACTTTTTTTTGCGCAAACATTATCAATTTACCCGAATTGACTATCATGATCATCATCAAATAGACAACTGTATCAAGAAGAAAGAGAAAAGACATCAAGATGTTACAAATTTTTTTTACGACATTCATTCATTCATTGTCTGTCGAAATTGATTGATTTTGTTTCACTCACTGTGTTTCGGGGGTTGAGAAAAAAAAATTGAAATTCAGATTCCATCAATCGAGGAGGAAGGGGGGAAGAGGAAAATTCCCAGCAACCAGAATTATTTCTGGAAAAATTCTTTAGTCTAAACACAGAATGAAAGTTAGCAGCTATATCTGGTTGAATGAAAAACAATTTTGAAAAGGGGGTGGAGCTTTCATCAAAGTAGAGGTAGTTGTACATTATGACAGTATGACAGAAGTTGAAAAAAAACATAACCAGCGATTCAAATTGGCCAACCAGACTTGAAACTTGAAAATTTTGATCAAAAATTCAAACAAACACACAGAGAGTGAGAGGTAACCAATTTGAAGAATTAAAGTTAGTTATTGACAAAAAAGAGAAAAGGGAGTGTTGTTGTTGATGGTGTAGATTCCTTTCTGTGGTGAATACCACCACCAAGATATTTGTTTTGTTGAAACATTGAAAATTTGAAAAATGTTGTTGTTTTGAAAAATTTTCAAAATCTCATCATTTGAATGAGAAAATTATTCCCTCTCTCTCTCTCTCTCCCTGTGTCTATTTTTAATGTTTTTTTTCGGGATGATTTTTTTTATTAGCATTTTTTCATGATCATCACCAGTGTAATCAACGTTTTTTTACTACACACTAAACACACACACGTATTTGTGCTACGGATTATTATCATATTTTTTTATTATCATCATCACTACAGCAACAACAGCAACGAATGAAGATGAATCTAAAATGCTGATGATGTTTCTTCGTCGTCGTTTGGCCAACGGTATGTTGTTGTTGTTGTTTTAGGATTGATAATGAAGCCATGTTGATTGGTAATTCCATTGGATTTCGAGCTTTTTAAATTCGTTGATGATGATGGTGGTGGCGGCAATGATCGTTGTTATTTTCAATGTTGAAAAGAATTTTTGTTCAATTTGCCAATCATCAGCTGCCATGTTTAATTTCAAACAAACAAAAAAGTTCTGCTGTTCATTCAGTAAGTCTGTCTGTGATGGATTCAATGTTTTATTTATTTTTTTTTCAAATTCATGATTTTCTTCATCTTCTTCAATGTTTTGTATCTCTGTGTTTTTGTTTTTGTTTATTGCGCATCCTAAATGCAAACAAAACATGCCATAAAAACATTGAACATAATAATTTCACAATTCTGAAGAATAAACTTACTACACAGCAAGAAACACACACACACACACACACGTTAATCTTCTATTTTGTTTTATTGAATCCCCACATTGATAAAATCAAACTGCGCAAACTCATGAAAAAATATCATTCAAAATACACAAAAACAAACAAACAGATCACCACTAACTATAACTATAACTATACCTCTAAACTAAAAAACGAAAAAAAACATATCACCAATAAAGACAACGAAGCAAAAAGAATTCAAGTCCAGATGATGATATGATACGAATAAGAAACGTACTTACCATAGAGAAACAAAAACATAGCGAGAAAAAGAGATAAAGATTGACAGAGAGAGAGAGTGATTCACACCCACAATAATGATGATGAGATGAATTTATTTTAAGTGTTTTTTTTTTTTTGATATTCAGTGATGAAGATGATGATGATGATGTAATAAAAATTATTATTATTATTATTATTATTATTGTCAATAATTCTTTAACAATATTTTTTTTACGACAATCAACCGATTTATGTTTGTTTTTTTTGGTTATTTCGCAAAGTTTAATGAGAGAATCATCATCATCAAAAATGTTTATGATGATGATGATGATAATGTTAAAATAGTCGACCAAAAGGATTTGATTATCATCATTAACCCCTCTCTCTCTCTCCCCTAATTATTCAAATCAATCAATGATTTTTTTTCGACCAAACCAAAAAATCAGAATTTCTGATTCCACACACACACAAGTCAAAAATCAAATGAAATTTTTTTATGATTATCATCACATTTGAAAAGCAACAAACAAAATACATAATATTCTTTTTTTTATTGTTGTTGTTTTAATTTCAGTTTTTTTTATTTTATTTTCTTCAAATAAAAAATAAAAAATAATAATAAAAAAATCAACAAGCAAAAACCATCAATGAATGATGATGATCATCAAATTTTGGTTCATCAAAAAACTGTGTGTAAAAAGTGTTTATTATGATTATATTTCAATAATGTTACATAATGTTTTTTATTTTTCAAAGTGTGTGTGTTTTATGAGTGTTTAAGTGTGTGTGTGTGTGTGTGGTCATCATAATCATCATTATAATGATAATAATTATCGTCTTTATTACTACAATCATTTCATCACTTTGTCATTCAACATTTATTTATTTATTGATGAATAATATTAAATTGATTCATAAATACAGTGATTTTTTTTTAATAAATAAATTAATTTACAAGATAATTTTTTGTTGATAATTCAATAAATGAATCGATAATTTTGATTCACACAATGTTATTTTTAAAAAGTAGTTAAAAATAATCGAAAAACAGACATGATGTGTGTTTGGTTTGGTTTGGTTTGTTTGTGTATTTGACCATTGATTCGGAAATCAACGAATAAAGAAATATTGTTGATAATCTGACGACCACCCAACTAAACAACGATTAAATTATCATCATTCATTTAATTCAATTTTGGACGAACAATAAAACATTGTTTCCAAAAATGCGTTCAAATTCCAGTGAATCTCAACAATTACAACAACCACAAACTGTTGTTGTTGTTGGTGGTGGTGGTGGTGGTCTAATATCATCATCAACATCATCATCGACGATTAATTCATCACCACCAATATGGCCATCAATAACACCAAACAGTGGATATGATTTTGATATTTATACCTCATCTGCCGCATCTGCGACATCAATCAATGGAACATCGATGAAAAATCATCATCATTCTTCAGATAATAATTTATTACCATCATCATCATCATCATATGGTTTGTTACCAACCATAGGATCATTATCATCAACGTCGACGTCTGGAAATGGGATCTCAACAACGCCAACAACACAACAAACATCAACAAATAATGATAGTCATAATTTAAATTCATATGGATCATCCGCAAATGAAATAACAACGGCCGCAACATTAGCTATCGCTACTAATCGTAACAAACAATTAGCAGCAGCGACAACTAGCGGTGGTAGTATTGGTAGTTCATCATCATCATCATCATCTTC